TCCCACTCCCACCCCCAGGCAACTATTGTTGCTTTGTTATTTTTCATTGTTGTTTTTGTCGTTTTTTATAAATTTATTTATTTGTTTGGCTGCATGTGGGATCTTTCATTGCGGCACACAGGCTTCTCTCTACTTGCGTGGCATACAGGCTCCAGAGCGCGTGGGCTCAGTAGATGCGGCATGTGAGCTCTCTAGTTGTGGCACGTGGGCTCTAGCATGCGTGGGCTCAGTGGTTGCAGCACATGGGCTTAGTTGCCCCGCGGCACGTGGGATCTTAGTTCCTCGACCAGGGATCGAACCCAAGTCCCCTGCATTGGAAGGTGGATTTTTAACCACTGGACCACCAGGGAAATCCCAGTATGGTTTTGTCTCTATAAATTTGCCTTTTCTGAATATTTCATATAAATGGAATCAAGTGATATGTTGTTTTTTGCATGTGGCTTCTTTGTCTTTGAGGTTCATCCATGTTATGTGTTTTAGAATTTTATTCCTTCTTACTGTTGAAGAGTGTTCCTCTGTATGGGCTGATCTCATTTTCTTTGTCCACTTACCATTTGAGAGACATTTGGGTTGTTTTGCTTTAAACAGTTGCATATGAACTTTTGTGAGGATATATGTCTTCACTTCTATTGGGTATATACCTAGGAGTGGAATTGCTGAGTCATATGGTAAATTTATGTTTAACATTTTTTTTAAATTTAATTTTATTTTTGGCTGTGCTGTGCAGCTTTCAGGATCTCAGTTCCGCAACGGGGGATTGAACCCTGGCCCTCGGCAGTGAAAGTGCAGAGTCCTAACCACTGGACCATCAACCTTTTAAGAAATTGCCAAACTGTTTTCCAAAGTGGCTGTGTGATTTTACATCCCACCAGCAGGGTGGTGTTTAATTTCCTGATATTTATGGATTTTCCAAGTTTCCTTCTGTTGTTGATTTCTAATTTAATGTCTCTGTGGTCAGAAAACATACTTTGCATGATTTTAATCCTTTTAAATGTATTAAGACTTGTTTATGGCCTATAGTGTATGGTCTCTACTGGAGGATGTTTCATGTTCACTTAGAAATTGTACTTTATGTTGTAGGGTAGTGTTGTCAGGCCATCTTGGTTTATAGTGTTGTTTATCTTCTATATCCTTGTTGATTTTGTCTTATTGTCCCATCCTTTATTGAGAGTATTAAAGTCTCCAGTTACTTCTGTTGAACTGTCTATATTTCTGTCTTTATTCTGTCAGTGTTTGCTTTATGTATTTTGGAGCTGTGTTGTTAGGTCTGTATGTTTATAATTGTATATGTCCCTGATGAATTGACCTTTCTATCATTGTAAAATACTACTCTTGGTCTCTAGTTAACCTTTTTTGGTCTTAAAGTCTGCTTATCTGATAGTAGTATGGCCACTCCTGTTCTCTTATTGTCACTCCTATTCTCATATTGTTATATGCAAACGGGGGCATGTATCTTTTTCTGTCCTTTTATTTTCACCATACTTATGTCTTTAAATCTAAGGTATGTCTCTTATAGAGAGCATATATTTGAATCTTTAAAAAAAAAAAAATCCAATCTGACAGTCTTTGCCTTTTGATTGGAGTGTTTAATCCATTTACATTTAATGTAATTGTTGATGTGGTCGGATTGCCATTTCGTTATTGTCTCCCTGTATCTCAGGTGTTTTTTGTTTGATCCTCTGTTACTGCCTTCTTTTGAGTTAAATAGATATTTTCTAGTGTAATATTCTAATTTCTTTGTTGCTTTTTTTTTTTTACTTAAAAAATCTTTCTTAGTGGGTTTTTATAAAAAATATTTATTTATATTTATTTTGGCTGTGCCAGGTCTTAGTTGCAGCATTCAGGATCTTTAGTTGCGATATGTGGGTTTCTTAGTTGTGACATGCATGCAGGATCTAGAGCCCCGACTAAGGATCAAACCCATATCCCCTGCATTGGGAGTGTGGAGTCTTACCCACTGGACCACCAGGGAAGTCCATCTTAGTAGTTTTACAATTTAAATTACAATATGCATTTTAACTTAACACAATCTACTTTGGAGTAATACTAACTGAATTCCAGTAAAATATAGACACTTTGCTCCAGTATAACTCCCTTCTCGCCCTATTCCTTTGTGCTATTATTGTCATACATATTATATCTCAACAACACAGTTTTATAATTATTGTTTTATGTAGTTGTCTTTTAAATCAATTAAGAAAAGAGAAAAAAGTTTATATTGTCTTTTATATGTACCTATATAATTACCTTTACTGGTGCTCTGTAGTTCCTTATGTAGATTCAGGTTACCATCTAGTGTCATTTCACTTTAACCTGAAGTATTTCTTCTATGGCAGGTCTGCCAGCAATGAATTCTTTTAGCCTTTGTTTATCTGGGAAGTCTTTATTTTGTGTTCACTTTTGGAAGACAGTTTTGCTGTATATAAAATTCTTGGATGAGAGTTTTTTCCTTTCATCACTTTGAATATATCCTCTCACTATCTGGCCTCCCTTGTTTCTGATAAGAAGCCAGTTCAAATCTGCTGTTGAACCCTTCTAGTGATTTTTTCTTATCAGTTGTTATACTTTTCAACTCTAGAATTTTCATTTCTTTTTTATAGTTTTAATCTCTTTATTGACATTCCTTATTTGAGAAGTCATTGTCATCCTACTTTCCTTAAATCTTTAAACATCGCTTCTATTAGGTTTTTTATTTTTTAATTAAAGTATAGTTGATTTATAATATGTGTTTCTGGCGTACAGCATAGTGATTTAGTATTTTTGCAGATTATATTCCATTATAGGTTATTACAAGATAATGGCTATAATTCCCTGTGCTATACAGTATATCCTTTTTTTAAAAAATTTATTTTTGGCTGTGTTGGGTCTTCATTGCTGTGCACGGGCTTTCTCTAGTTGCAGCGAGTGGGGGCTGCTCTTCGTTGCGGTGTGTGGGCTTCTCATTGCAGTGGCTTCTCTTTGTTGCGGAGCACTGGCTCTAGGTGCACAGGCTTCAGTAGTTGTGGCATGCAGGCTCAGTAGTTGTGGCTCGCAGGCTCTAGAGCACAGGCTCAGTAGTTGTAGCGCATGGGCTTAGTTGTTCTGTGGCAGGTGGGATCTTCCCAGACGAGGGTTCGAACCTGTGTCCCCTGCATTGGCAGGTGGATTCTTTTTTATTTTTTAATAAATTTATTCATTTATTTATTTTTGGCTATGTTGGGTCTTCGTTGCTGCACGTGGGCTTCCCCTAGTTGCGGAGAGAGGGGCTACTCTTTGTTGCAGTGCACCAGCTTCTTATCGAGGTTGCTTCTCTTGTTGCAGAGCATGGGTTCTAGGCATGTGGGCTTCAGTAGTTGTGGCATGTGGGCTCAGTAGTTGTGGCTCGCGGGCTCTAGAGCACAGGCTCAGTAGTTGTGGCACATGGGCCTAGTTGCTCCGCAGCACGTAGGATCTTTCCAGACCAGGGATTGAACCTATGTCCCCTGAATTGTCAGGAGGATTCTTAAGCACTGCGCCACCAGGGAAGTCCCTATATCCTTGTTGCTTATCTATTACATATATAGTAGTTTAATCCCATAACCCTAATTTGTCCCTCCCCACCATCAGGGTTTTGTTTTGTTTTTGTTTTTTTACTTATTTGTAATAGCTGCTTAGAAGTCTTTGTCTGCTAGGTCTAATATCTGGGCCTCCTTGGAGATAGTGTCTGTTGATTGCTTTTCTTTCCCTGTGTACTGTCCGTACTTTCCTATTTCTTTGCATGTCTTATAATTTTTGTTGAGTTATTATTGCTGTTTGTTTCTTTAGAGACTTGCCTGAGCTAATTGTTTAGAGTCTGTTCTCTGCAGTATGCAGCTACTGATGTCTCTACTTGTTTTTCTTTTTAAATTATCCTTTTTATTTTTAAGCCTAGCTTCCTAGGGGTCTCTTCCAGGTCAGCATATGTTAGTGGTCAGCCAATGATTAATCAGAGGTTGTGCTTAAACATCTTGCACCATTAAGGCTTTACTGATGAATTTATGAGTGGGCTGGGGAACACACTCAAAGTTCAAGCAGTTTACATGTCTGCCCAGCTTTTAGTTTGTGAATGTGCAAAGCATCCCACTAGCCAAGAATGAGTTGATGGGGTTCTCTCCCATCTCTCCCAAGTGTGCTATACACATGCATAGCCTTCCAGACCACCAGAGATATCTGGATTTTATCAAGGCCCACTATGACTATCTCATTTCCCAGATCTCCTGTTAAATTTCCGGCAGCTCTGTCGCTTGTTCCAACCAGTATTCCAGGTTCATGTTAGCTGTGATGTTCCTGATTATTTGCCATTGAGATCACTATTGTTTGTGATCCTGTCCCATGAGTTTTTCTGTGTTCCAGCCCAAATCAAGTCAGCCCCCTCAGGGCTTGCCCCACCCTGCTAGGAGATGGGAGTACCCCCAGGCCAAAAAGCCACAGGCTCCATTGTTTTTACCAAGGTCCTAAAGTTCTGGAATAAATGCTTCTCAATTTGTTATTTGCCTTAGGTTAATTTCCAGAGTCCAGAAATCGTTTTTGAGAACGGTGTCCAGTTGTGGTTTTTTTTAAAAGGATATTCTTTTTTTAAAAATTTTTATTTTATTTTGGGCTGCACTACACAGCATACAGGATCTAGTTCCCCGACCAGGGATTGAACCTGGGCCCCCTGCAGTTGAAGCGTGGAGTCTTAACCATTGGATCACCAGGGAAGTCCCTGTGTCTAGTTTTATTATTGCTTTTGGGGAGAGGATTTGCTGAGCTCCTTCCTCTGTCATTCTGAAAGTCCCCCCCACCACACATCTTTTTAACGGCTGTGTAGCATTCCGTTCTTTGGGCATCCCACTATTTATTTGTCAATAGGTATATGGATATGTAGATTTTCCACATCTTGCCAGGCCAGCCATTGTGCTCTTGTCTCTCAGAACATCTCTCTCTGAGCTCTCCCCTACTTCCTGGGGGTCAGAGCAGCCTGAGCCTGACCCTCTTCCTCACGCCTCCACTTTGTTTCTCAGGAAAGACACTGATCAAGGTGGCAGAAGCAGAAAAGCGCCTGGGAGCCGCAGAGAGGGATTTTATCCACACGGCTTCCATCAACTTCCTTACACCCCTGCGCACCTTCCTGGAAGGGGACTGGAAGACGATTTCGGTGAGGGGCCGGGGGCCACTTGCTTCCTGGTAACAGTGGCGGCCCTCTCCTCATAGCGGCTGAGCCCAGGCTCTTCTCCCATGCTGGGACCCAGCACTCCTGGGGCCTCCCCAGACACGGCTCTTGTGGACTGAGTGGCCTGGAGTGGGTGACTCCCCCCGTCCAGGCCTCAGTTTCCCTGTCTTGACCAGATGGTCCTGGGGGCTGGTCCTGCCAGGGCCAGGGGGCTCCCGGGGCTGCCCAGGTCTCACTGTTCCCTGTTCACACCCCCTCAGAAGGAGAGGCGGCTCCTCCATAACCGGCGTCTGGACCTGGATGCCTGCAAAGCACGGCTGAGGAAGGCCAAGGCCGCAGAAGCCAAAGCCACGGTAGGTGTCGTGCCGGCCTCCTGCCCCCCCCATCCTGGTTGGAGCCAAGGAGCGGGGGAAGGGACCTGGTGTTTGGCATGACTTCTCTCCCCTGTCCCTGCCTACAGAGGCCTGGCTGGGGGCTGCTGCTCTGGGCTGACCATTTCAGGTCACACCTCTCTGCCCCACCTGCAACGGACCCCTGGCGGCCCAGAGCCCTGGGACCCAGGGCAGACGTTGATGGGGTGGGCGGACCAGCAGTGCCCCGACCTGAGCTCAGGGCGGCCCACAGCCTCCCCAGACCGACAGCCAGTTGGCTTCTTGCATGTCCCTGCCCTGCCCTCCCTGGGTGCTCGGCTCTGTTCCCGGCTCTGCCCGGACATGGCTCCCCCTACTAACTCCCCCACCTGCTGCTCCAGCGCTGGTCGCAGGGTGCCCTGTGCTCAGGCTCCCCTGTGGTGGTGCGGAGGGCCCCGGAGCTGGACCGCCCGCCTGCCCAGGGGTGTGTCTGAGGGGCCCTCTGGGAGCCCCATGGCACTGGGTAGGGCCTGGGCTGTCTTCGCTCCCGCTTCACTCTCAGCTCACGGAGGCCTGTTCAGCCAGGCCGATGGGACACAGTGTGGGACACTTTGACCAGGGCTAGGCCAGGGTTGGGAGAGCTGGGCCTGAGGGTGGCCAGGCTGCTTGGGGTGCAGGGCCCGAAAGGCCACCTCACGCCCTGGGGAGGGAATCCCCAGGTCAGGTCCAGGGCACGCCGTGGAAACATCCGGCCCGGGCTCCCCGCTCCCCTGAGAGTTCCAGCCTCCAGCCCTTCTCGCGTTCCCCTCCCTCAGTGTGGCCACCTGGGGTTGCGGAACCTGGGCAGTGCGTCTGGCGAGAGCCGTGGGCAAGGTCCCGGTTCATCCAATTGTGTGGGGTCCAAACTGGAGGCAGGGGCTCAGCCACTGGAGTCTTGTTGGCTTGGGCAGGATGACCTATGTCTGTCTAAGTCACCTGGACAGGACAGTCTCCCTGCCACTCAGGGGTGGACCACCTCTCTGGAGTAACTTGGTCAGGATAAGCTCTTCCTACATCAGCCAGGCGGGGGAGCCCTTCCTTAGTTACTGGGACGGCACGCCCTCCCCTCCAGTTGGTTGGCCCAGAGTCTTTGGCTTGGGCAGGACACCCCGTCCCGAGCTGGGCCCTGGCAGCCCAGATACAGCATCCCAGAGGACTCCAGCCCAGCAGTGCACCCCGTCCTTCCTACCCCTCTCAACACACACACACACACACACACACACACACACACACACACACGTGTCAGGACTCCTTCCAGAGGGCAGGGTTGTGTGACCCCAGGGGCCTGCTCCCGCCTGCGCTGTGGACTCACTAACTCTTTGTTTTTGTTCCTTTCTGTTCTGCTTTGGGTAACTTGGCTCAGTGTGAGGGCTCAACACACACACACACACACACACACACACACACACACACACACACACACGTGTCAGGACTCCTTCCAGAGGGCAGGGTTGTGTGACCCCAGGGGCCTGCTCCCGCCTGCGCTGTGGACTCACTAACTCTTTGTTTTTGTTCCTTTCTGTTCTGCTTTGGGTAACTTGGCTCAGTGTGAGGGAGATGTGAGTATACCTATCCCACGTGCTGTGCTGCTTCTGGTTTGCCCATCTCGGCCTCGGGCCCACAGTGCCGGGTCGGCCGGGGACGTCCTCGGGGCGTTTTGCAAGCAGCTGGTCTCCCCACCGGAGGCTCTACCATGCGTAGCCTCTGCTTCGGGGGGACGCCAGGCATTGGAGCCTGTGAGTCAGCTTTTTGCAAATGTTGAAAGCCTGTCACTGTGTCCATCCATGCATCTGTCTGTCCATCCTCGTTGTGGGGAGGGGCCTGGTCCTTGCTGCAGGAGCGAGAGACGTGGTGTGCAGAGGTTCTGGACGGAGAGAGCTGGGCGGGGCGGGCTTTGTTGGGAGGACGGTGGGTCTGGCTGGGGCATCTGAGTGAGGCCGGGGCCGGGGGACGAGGGTCCGTGGCCGCCAGGCCAGGGGCTGGACCCGTCTGTGGCTTGCCCCAGGTAAGGGCCCTGATGGCAGGCATGTCCACCCACTTAATCTTGGTCTGGACTGGCCTTGGCCCGCCTCCTCTGCAGGTGGTTGGCTTGGGGAGAAGCGGGGGGCTCCGTGTTGTGTTTGTCTGTACCCTCCTGTCCGTGGGGTCGGGGGCTCCTGGCATCTCCCATGGGAGGGCCTAGGGCAGCCTTCCGGCCCGGCCCTGGCCCCGTATGACCCCCTCCCCCCATGAACTCTGTTCCCCGCCAGGCGGTGCCTGACTTTCAGGAGACTAGACCTCGTAATTACATTCTCTCGGCCAGCGCCTCCGCGGTAAGCGCCCCTGCCCCACCCCGCTCCCCTTCCCCTCCCACACTCGGGCCTGGGCCTGACGTGCAGCAAACGGGAGCCAGAGGGGCAGGCAGGGGCCGCGCCCCTGGTCAGGCAAGTCCTGTCCACCCGCCTCTGCCCTGTGCCCTGTGCCCGTGTTGCCAGCCTTACTTCTCCCTGCCCAGCGCTGAAGGTGAGCCTGGCCCACTGCGCGGCACAGCCCGGTGCACTTGGGGCGGCAGCGGCCCCACCTCCAGGGCACCTGAGAGTCTGCCCAGCCCCGACCCCCCCCAAAGCAGGCACCGTCCCCTCCCACACTCACCGTCCCGGAGCGCCCGGCCGTGCGGCCCGGAGGAGAGGGAGGAGGTCTGGGCCTGGCCGGCCACGGGGTCACGGGACACAGGGACGGCGCTGTCCATCCAGCTGCCTCCGTAGCACATCTGCTGGGTGTCGTGGAAGTGCTTGAGACTGAACAGGGAGGGTGGGAGGGCACAGCTGGGTGGGGGAAGGAGCCGCCTGGGCCCGAGGCCCAGAGGTTGGAGAACAGAGCTTGTCCTGAGCTGGCCTGAAGCTGAGCGTGAGGGCGGGGCGGGGGCGGGGACTCTGGAGGTCGGATGGGCGGGGCTGGATCAGGAGGACGTTGAATGTCTTGGTGTCTTTGCTTCCTACAGCTCTGTTGAGATTTGTGGTATTTACTGTTTAGTTTGGGAAATAGGCAGGTCACACCTATCCCATCATGCCTGTCGAAACCACCACTGTGTCTTTCTCTGCCTCTCTCTCTCTCTGTCCCTTATTCAGATCCCTTAGCCATTTCTTTTCCTTTTAAACAGACTTTATTTTTTAGAGCAGTTTTAAGTTCACAGCAAAATTGAGCAGGAAGTACACAACTTTTCCACATACTCCCTGCCCCACATAGGCACAGCCTCCCTCAGTACCAAAATCTGGTACCAGAGTAGTACATTAGTTACAATTGAAGAATCTACATTGATATGTCATTATTATCCTAAGTCCATAGTTTACATTAGGGTTCACTGTTGGTGTTGTGCATTTTCTGAGTTTCGTCAAATGTATAATGACATATGTCTACCATTATAGGATCACGGAGTAGTTTCACTGCCCTAAAAATCTGTGCTCCCTCCCTATTCAAATCTATTCATCCCTCCCCCCCCCCCACCCCCCCCCACCCCCGACGGGTGACAACCTTCCGCAAAGACCCTCTGGCTCTTCTCCATCTGTCATAAGCATGTTGCTGTGTGCAGTCATTTGTCCTCGGGGGCGTGAACCACAGTGTAGTCCACCGGGCCCCTGTGGCTGGGTCTCCGACGTGTGTCCACGTGGAGGTTGCTTCCCTGTTGTGATATGCTAAACGGCACTGAGGTGGGACACATCTGTCCAAGGGCTGGCCTTGTTTTGCTTTCCGCATTTCAGGTCACATCTTAGGGTAGCAGCGGGCAGGAGAAATGGGTCTCCTAAGCCGTGGTGGGGGGAGGGGGGTCTTTCTTCTTTAGACTCTGGATGACACTTCCCGCCCCCCTTCCTGGGCCGAGTGGAAAGAGGAGTATCCAGGAGGGTGGAGACGGCCCTGTTTTTTCCTTGTGCCTTTGAACCCCAGTGTGACTCGGGCACGAGGCTGCCTTTCTCTGCCGAAGGACAGAAAGGTTCAGTGACTGGTCCAGGGTCACACAGTCTTGCCTCCCAGCCCACCAGCCTTAGCCAAGTGTCAGGGTGGGGTGCGGGACGCTCAGTCTCCCTTGAGACCCCAGTCAGAGCCTGGGGACTGGCACTGTAGGAGAAACCCAAGTAGGACTCCCCAGCTGGCTGTCCCCCCTCCCCGCATGTGGCATGTGGGACTAGACGGACTATGATGTCGGAGCCCCCTCTTTCACACCAGGCCTCACCCCAGCCTCAGCCCCTCGTTGGGCTTTGGGGAGGGAGTTGGGGAGAGGTTGGGGTCTCAGGGAGCTGGGGCAGGGCCTGGGCTCTGGGGTTCAGCCGTCCTCCCCTCCCCTGCTGACCGGTGCCCCCCTCCCTCCCCCGCTGACCTGTCCTCTTGTGGTCTCCGCAGCTCTGGAATGATGAGGTGGACAAGGTAAGTCAGGGCTCAGGGAAGAGGCTGCAGGGGGTGGGCAACAGGAGTCCAGGCTCACCTGCTGCCGTCAGGGGCAGGTCTGTTTCTAGTTCTGGGCTCTGCCCTCACTCACTGGGGCCACGGTAGGGGTTGTCACTTCCCCTCTGCCCTGTTGCACACAGTGGGCCCTCCGGAGGCAACTGTTGGTTGGATTTGTCCCTGGTGCGTGATGGCGTCAGATGGGCAAATGAATGAGTATGAAAGGCCAAGGCAGGGCGCCCGAGGCTCTGTCTGCTTGTCCAGGAACTGACCTCAGGACGGGGTGGGGTCCAAGCGGGGCTGTCAGCTCCTCCAGTGGTCAGGGCTTCAGGCCTGAAGTCAGGGGTGGGAAGTGCACTCCTGCCACTGATGTCTGCATTCCCTGGGGGAAGTGACAGCTGCCACAGAAGGGAAGAGGAGGCCGCTCCTGGGCAGCTTCAGGGACGCGCGGGAGAAGGCGGTGGGAGGGAAGCTGGGGGGCGGTTCTTGTTCTCGTGCTCATGCCCCGCCCTTCCCAGGCTGAGCAGGAGCTCCGAGTGGCCCAGACAGAGTTTGACCGGCAGGCAGAAGTGACCCGGCTCCTGCTGGAGGGAATCAGTAGCACGCACGTGAGTCCTGCCCCCGTTTCCTCCTTCTGTCATCCACCGTCTTCTTGCCGCCCCTCGTGTCCCCATGAAACTAGTCCATATTGAGGCAGCGAGTGAACCTGGATCTCGAAGGCAGGTGGGGAAGGGTATGCTTGAGCCTGCAGTCTGTAAGGATGGGATTTAGCCTCGGCAGAGCAGGTCCCAAAGGGTGGGTACCTCCCTCCAACCCCAGGGAGCAAGTGGCCTGGGCAGAAGACATCGGAATGCCGGGCCAGGGTCTGCAGAGGACAGGATGGGGAATGGGATGTTTTGGCCCCTCGCATCCCCCCGTCAGCCACGGGCGTCTTCCCCACAGGTGAACCACCTTCGCTGCCTCCATGAGTTCGTTGAGTCTCAGACCACTTACTATGCCCAGTGCTACCGCCACATGCTGGACCTACAGAAACAGCTGGGCAGGTGCCCACCGGGGTCCCCTGGCTCCCAGCCCCGACCACCCCAAGCTCGGAAAGCCCCGTGACACCCAGGGCGGGGTGGAGGGCTGCCGACTGTGGTGGGACATCACACTGCTCTCTGGGCCCGGGCACCCTATCACAATGACAGCGAGGTGGCTGGCCTTGGGGACCTCTGGCGTGGTTTCTTGAGACTGTGTGGGGTAGGGGGTGGCGGGGATGGCGGGAGCATCTCACATTCCCCGTTTCCCTCTTCCTTTCATGCCGCCAGCTCCCAGGGAGCCATGTAAGTAGCAGGGTCTCCTCGCCTCTGCGGCCGTGGACCTAGCTGGTGTTTGGCAGGGCACACAGGACTCCCAGGGGGGTGTGGCTCCCGGCTGCTGAGGTGTGCCCCACCCCCTCTCCAGATTTCCAGGCACCTTCGTGGGCACCACAGAGCCCGCTTCCCCGCCCCTCAGCAGCACCTCGCCCACCACCGCCGCGGCCACTATGCCTGGGGGGCCCTCTGTGGCCAGCCTGGCTCCTCCAGGGGAGGCCGCTCTCCGCCTGGAGGAGGTGGCGCCTCCCGCCAGCGGGACCCGGAAGGCCCGGGTCCTCTACGACTACGAGGCGGCCGACAGCAGTGAGCTGGCCCTGCTGGCTGACGAGGTAGGCCTGGGGGCCACGAGGACGGGGGGAGGGCCGGCTCACGGGCGCCAGGAAACTGGAGCTGGGGGCATGGGGCCTACAGACCCTGCACCGCGGGCTTCCAGCCTCCGAGGGGCCCTGCGGGTAGAGCTGGGGCCAGTCGGGTAGGCAGAGACGGCTCCAGCTCTGAGGAAGCAGCCTCTCTGATCTGTCTCTGTAGAGCAGCTGAGGAGGTGAGCGCCCGCCTCAGGAGGTGTCGTTTCCTATGTATCAGGGGAGACCGCAAGTCTGTCCCCCCTTAGGGCTGGGGCCAGTTCTGCCTGGCCGGGGCGTGACCCTCCTTCTCCGCCCTCCGCAGCTCATCACTGTCTACAGCCTGCCTGGCATGGACCCTGACTGGCTCATTGGCGAGAGAGGCAACAAGAAGGGCAAGGTCCCTGTCACCTACTTGGAACTGCTTAGCTAAGCAGGCCCCCTCCCAGGCCCCTGCCCATTCTGGCCTGGGCAGGAGGATGGGTGCAGCCCTGCCACTTGTCTTGTCTGTTGGTGACCCAGCTGCTCAGGGTAGCGAAAGTAACCCCATCCCATCCCGCCCCTGGTCCTCCAGCTGCGAGGGGCCCCAGAGGCTGAATGATCCCGGCCCCTCCCCCAGCCCTGCTTCTGACCTGGTTCTGGAGATTCCCCCCTGCCGCCCCCACCTGCATCCCTGAGCACCCCAGCCCTCCCGGCTCCTGCTAAGGAGGGAGGGCCTGGCTGCAGCAGCTGCACTCAGCGCCTAGGCCCGTGGGGGTCAGTGCAGAAGGCCTGAGGAAGCCCTGAGGAAGCCCTGGGGCGCACCCTGGGGGAGGGAGCTCCTTTTAGTTGCCAAAAGCAGCAAAGGGGGAAAGGCAGGCAGGTCTGCAGCAGGCCTGAGGACTGGATGTCATCCCCTCTGGATGAGCTGGAGCAGAGGGAAGCCTGGGCCATGGAGCAGCATCTCCCCGGTGCTACCCTTCCCCTCCCATACAGCTCAAGCCAAGTATGGTGGCTGCAGCCTGCACCTCTCCACACTCACTTTTTAACTGATCTTTTTACTCTGCCTGTCTGCTTGCTCTCTAGCCAGTGACAAATAATAAACCATCCTTCGTGTGCATGTTGCCTGGGCTCCGGTCGGGTCGCAGGCCTCACAGGTGGGAAAGGGAAGAGGAGACTTCACATCTGCACCACCCCTCCTTCTGGGGGGAGGGCGTGATGTACAGAGAGCTCAACGTGCCTGCTGTGGGCCCCTCCCAGAAGCACTAGGGCAGAGGGAGGGAGAGCTCTTAGGGCAAAGCCAGCACCTCCCTTCCTCCCACGCTGCCTGTGCTGCTCAGGAGGGAGTGCTGTTCTCCTACTGCAGCTGCGTAATTACGTTTTTTTTTGGGTGGGGGGCGGTTTGTTTGGGCCACGCCGTGCAGCTTGCAGGATCTGTTCCCCAGCCAGGGGTTGAACCCAGGCCCCCTGCAGTGGAAGTGCAGGGTCCTAACCACGGGACCACCAGGGAAGTTCCATGAAGCTGCATAATAGATGTTTTATTCCTAAGAAAAACTTGCCTAAAATCGGGTAGAGTGGACTGTAAAATTTGCACGATAGTTTAAGCTCGAGTAACTGACAGCTGACAGTGCTTCCCAGGGGCCCGGCATTGAGCCAAGCATGTTCACGTGTATTCTCGTGTCCTCGCAGACGAGGGAAGAAGAGATCAGAAAGTCACCTCCGCACCGTTCCATAACTGGCAAGTGGCCACGCAGGGACTCTAGTCCAGGTCAGTCTGGTTCCAGAAACTTAAAGTGGTAGCTCTGGGCTACAAGCCAGTTTTAGCCGGGCCCAGAGCTCTGTGATTAGGTCCCAAGGAGGCTAGAGGCTAGAGGCTGGTGGGCCCTCTGAAGGGAAGGGGAGGCACAGAGCTATAAGTAGGAGCAGAGCTTCAAGGAAGGCTCTACCCGGTGGTGGGCTCAGCCAGCTGTAAGTGGAGGTGCATGGTAGGGGTCGGGGACAAGACCTGGGCGGGGGCCGAGGGGGCGGAATCTGAGCGCCCACCCAGCACCCGCAACACCAAGACGTGAACAGAGGAATGTTCGTTAGGTCAGTGGTGGCTATCTCGCCTTCCCCAAACCTCCACTCCACTCTGGGCCCTCGGCCGAGGGAGGCGGTTCGATGCTCTGAGAGAGCTGGTTAGTCGTTGGGCTTTGAAGGTAAACCCCACACGGTTGTGTATAAACAGTATTTTAATATTTGTATAAATAGACCACAATATTACCCAAAACTGCAAGAACAGAGCGTGGAAAACAGATTCTCAAACCCATGCGTACAGCCTCTCCTGGTTGCACGTGACACTGGCTCCCCCATCTCTCCCCCGGGGCCAGGGTCACGTGCTGTGGGGAATGCTTGAAGGAAAGGAATACACCTCTTGGGGGCATTCTGAACATGAGACTGTGAGCGCAGCAGACTCGTGGCTCCCCGCTGTTGACCTCTTGATCTATTACAAAAATAATGCTGGGGGCTGGTGGCTGGAGTCGTGGCTACTCTGGGGAGGGCGAGAGGAGCTGCTCTCAGCCCCAGACAGGCCCCTCAGGCCAGCAGCACCCCTGCTGCCCAGGGCTGCCGTGCAGGCTGGTGGAGAGTGGAAGGTGGGCGGCGGGCCCGAGGCCCTATCTTTGCACGTGCCGGACAAAGGCCTGCACTAGCTGGATCAGAGGCTCCTGACTCTCAGGGTTGACCTTGGAGAGAGAGGTGGACTTGCCCTGAGGCGAGGGAAGGATGCCAGCAGCAGGGGAGCTGGGGGCTCCCCGGCGGAAGTAGCGGGAGAGGCTGGAGAGCAGAGTGCTCTGCAAGAGAAACAGCACCTGGTGAGGCCCCGCGTCCCCCACCCTCAGGGCTGGCCACGGCAAGTGGGGGACTGGGGCCCCTCCCCAGTGGCCCTGCCCCACCAGGCAGGGCCCCCTACCCATCCTACCAACTCTGAGCTGAGCTCCTGCTTCATCCGCTGCTTGTCCCGGGGGTGCACAGCCGGGTCCCTAAGGTAGCGCGTCGCCTGGGAGATGAGCAGGTAGAAGCAGTTCTCCATGGTGAACGTCAGGAGGGACCTGGGGAGGGCGGGGGCGGGTTGGGCGCCACTGCCGGGAGGGCCAAGCTGCCAGTGAGCCGGGCCAAGAGAGGAGCCAGCCCAAGGCCGCCCCAGCCCCAAACCAAATCCCAGAAGGAGGCTTTCTTACTTCAGTGTTCTGCTCCCTTCCGCTTGTGTGCTGAGCCCCACTGCCTGGGTGAGAGGCTCCTTTTTCTTATCCAGCTGGAGAAAAAGAAAGGGGGGTTAAAAAAATAAGGTAACAGTAACAGCTCCAACTCAGTGAGAGCCTCCATTTTGCAGGGCCTACATTAAGCTATTTTATCAGTTATTCGTTTAAGTCTCACGCTAATTCTTACAGGTCAGCTCCATCACACTCACTTTATGAAGGGAAGGGTAGATAAACGTGCCCACTGGAAGACGTGGGCTGAGGGGCCAACTCACCTCTCCAAGCATGTTTAGGGCCACATTCACTGTGGCCAGAAGGGTCCCAAAAGAGGGGGCCACTTCGGAGTCAAAGGTGGGAGTGGTGAAGCTCAGGGCAAACAGGAAGTCGTATTCAGCAAGGTCCAGGGACTGCAAGGCAAGGCAAGACGAGAGCGATGTGGGGCCCCACAGGGCCCAGGCAGCTCTTGGTGCAGAGCAGGGCACAGCAGAGCCTCACGGCTCCACTGGAAGCCGCTGGCCCCGTGTGGCTGGTACCTGGTCCAGCAGGATCTGGCACACGTCGGGGGTGAAGTGGCGCAGGGCCGCCAGGGTCCTGCTGAGGATCTTGAGGAGCCCGTACTGGACGGTGTGCAGGGCCCGCTGCTCCGAGGCCTCTGTGTCAGGAGTGGGCTGCTTGGAGGAGGAGCAGGAGGGGGCAGCTGTGGGTGGCCGCTGAGCTCGGGGGGCGACAGCCGAGGGGATGCCCTCCCCGTTTTTGTTCTGGGGGGGAGACAAGAGATGGCTGGAGCCCACGGAAGCCAGGGGTGAGGCAGTCCAGGCAGCAGCGGCAGACAAGGGCTCGGTTACCTGCAGGTAGTGCTGCAGCATCTTGCGGCTGTGCAGGAGGGAGGTACAGGCCTGGCACAGGTAGCCCAGGTTTACCTAGAGCAAACCCAGGGGAGGGGTGAGGGGGAGCCTCGAGGCAGCAGCCCAACCAACTAGACCGACCACGCAGGTCTCTATGGTAACAACGAACTTGTCCGGCCCCCTGAGCCCGTCCCTACATTCTCTAGCTCAAAATCTCACAGCCACCAAGCACGCTCGACTGCAAACTGTGGGTCAACAGATGCCTGGACGGTTTCCCTGGGACCCAGCTAGATGCCAGGCACAGTATGAGGTCCTAAGTAAATAAGTAAGATGGGGATAATTTTCCCATCTTACAGAAGAAGAAAAAGGCTTCGAGAGAGGTGAAGTAACTTCGCCAAGCTCACACAACCAGCAAATGACAGGCCCGTCTGACTCCAGAGCCTGTGTTCTTTCCCTGCCCGCCTCTTCGGCTGGCTCCCAAGTCCTGTTCTAAGGGATGCAAACCAAGGTCGATCCCACAGAGCCCAGCTTCTCAACCTATGAGGCTGCCCTGTCCTGTGGAGGGAAAATTCAGCTCCAGACGGAGCAGTGTGAAACCAAACCCTGTGCTACCTAAAGAAAAAGCCCACGTTCCAGGAACAGGCCTGCGATTCACTGCCTGCCCCATCCCCTCCGAGCATTTCCCCGGACGCTTCAAGAAGCAGGTCTGAGGCCCCACCTGGACGTCCCGCATAAGCTGAGGCAGGTGGAAGTGCCACTCCTTCCTGAAGCTGGAGAGCTGCAGGAGGAAGCCCACGGTGTGGTCCGCCTCCTCCAGACACGCCAGACTCTGCACCGTCCTCACCGCATTGAGGCACTGGGAGGGGGGACACGGGGAAGGATGAGGTGGCTCAGGGACCTGCCACACCTGCTCCCGCCCTCCCGCGCGGAGGAGAGGTCCTGGGTCCACATACGCTGAGGTGGCAGCGTTACCAGGGGGCTGGACAAAGCGGTTTCTGACTAAGAGGTTTCTGTCTGAGCGGATCCCAGGCCATTCCCCTCCCTCAGCAGGGCAGCCACACTGCTCAGCCTGTCAGCCAACAGTCCTTACAGCATCTCAGAAGCGGGAGCACTGGCACCACTCAACTGCCAAGCCTCAGACCCGAACAGTCCAGACGCCCCTGAACCCCAAGCCCCGATTCCAAGGATGCCAGCGGCCCCTCACCTGTAAGGCCCGCTCCTGGTGAACCCCCACGAAGTCCAGGGCCTCGGTCAGGAAGTTGTAGCGCAGGGTTTTCAGGAGCCGCTCCATCAGGGACATGGACAGGCGGTAGACACCCGGCCAAGAGGGGGCGTCCAGCGACTTCCGAGAGGTGCCGGGCGTCTGAGACACAAACAACAGACAGGATCACGATAGCGCAGAGGAACCCAGCTGACAGGTAGAGCGGGGCCTCCTTGCAGCCCATCAGCTGAGGCAGCCTGGCTGGTCGGAATAGAAAAGCTCCTGGAATGGACGGCAGCAGGGCCAGACGGGGTCCGAAGGCAGCAGTTACAGGAATCTAGGTTCTAGACCCGCGTCCAGCACTAACTAGCTGTGTGAGCTTCTCTTGCTAGAGGTCAGTCTGGGGGCGGGGAGGATTCTGCACCATCAGTGCATTAACTAGGCCACTAAAGAGAGCAACTTCTGGGGCAAGTAAAAGCACCAAGGGGGGCTGGGGGAGGCAGTGGCAGGCCACTGGCACTCACCTGCACTGTCCCATTGGTGCTGAGCTGGTACACACTCAGGAGGGGCAAACAAATGCTCTGGGTGATGCCGGCTCCAGCCACTGCTGTGGCCCCCTGGGAGGGAAAGATGCAGAATGAGATGGAAGCTGTCACCGCAGCCACCCCACCCAAGGGCAGGTGGAGGTCTTGGGCTGGGAGACTCACAGGCAGCGTCAGAATCCACCCAGCATAAGCAAAGAAGCTCCCTCGGGCTTGCCTCCTACCTGCTGGGTGCGAGCCAGGGTAAGGAGCAGGTGCAGCGCGGCCTCGGTGAAATGCAGGTTCTGCTTCATGC